AAAACTATCTGTTCCCCAGGACAGCATGATGGCCATCTGATTTATGTTATAGTTACTTGTCTAGCTCTCTTTCTCTATCTCCTGCCCCAACCACCCCACTAACCTGTAAGCACACTGAGGACAGGAGCCTTTCCTTATTTGTCATAACATACCCCAAGCACATATTAAATGCCTGATATATAGAAAGTCTGTTGAATTGAATAACAAGTAAAATTAATTAATAGATGAATTTATTTAATGGGGGAATAAGTTCTATTATGCAGCCCATATAAAAAAAATTTATTTTCCCAAGGAACTTTTAGTGACCCTGCCTTCAGTGACTCCAATGCTAGACATTCTGATATGCCAAATGTGGGTTTATTTGGAAGAGTTAGAATCTTATTCTATCCCTTACATTTTGGCTAAAATTATTGCATTATCTTGTTTGACCTCCAGACAACCCTATGAGCTATTATCATTCTCACTTTCAAATAGGATAGTTGAGGTTCAGGTGCATGAGTTACTTTCTCCAAGCCACAGAGTTAGTAACTGTCAGGGCAGGAATTTGAACCGAAGTCCAGCTAACCCCAAAATCTTCACCACCATGCTGTTCTCCTCCAGTTATAAGGGCAACCCTGGTGTCTGAATTGTGAGTCTTGGCCTTCAATTCATTGCTAATTTTCATTTGGATATTTCAGAATCCTACCTGGTATACCTCCTCACCACCTTTACTACCACTTATTATCAACAATTCAAGGACCCACTTTAACCCACAACTTTACAGACACAGAGCAGTCATAGAACTTGTCTAAAACATAGCTATTTAGGACAAATCAAGGTCAAGGTGTCTGGCACTATGTTAAACACCCAGTCAATTCCTGAGTCAGTCCAAATGCAGAGACCAAACTCACATATGAATGTAAATGACTTGTTTTAGAAAAAAAATAAAATCCATGACTTTTCTTATATGTAGTCACCACCAGAGAACAGTGCTAAAATCTTTGTTGAACTGTAATTTTATCTCATCTGTTTCCTTTAGGTCTCATGGTTCTACTTTTATCACTAATTGGCATTTTCCTGCATTAATATTAATCCTTTTAAGGAAGCACAGATTAATAATTACTTACCTTGTCGGTCATTTTTTTGTCCCCATTATAGCAAGAGATCATTGTGCATCATCATAGAAGTTCCACATATGAGATCTTGATATAATAATAAGCACTAATGTTTACTGAGTCTGTATATTATGTGCCAGATGCCATGCTGAGCTCTTTACCGAGATCCCTCACTAAGGTAATACTTGTATGAGCTTTGTTTTACAGAGAAAGAACTAAACCCTGAGGGACTGAGAAGCTTGCCCAAGGTTACGTAGTAGAAACCCAGATATGTCTGCCTTCTGGAGTCTAAACCACTTGACTTATTCTCATTTCTGCTGACACTATCGTATTTTCTCTATTCCCTCACCTTGTAATTAAGGGAAGTTATCCTGACAGACTTGAAAAAGGAAATACAGTACCTGATAGAGCCCAGGTCATTTCCATTCAGATCTACCATTTTCAAGACTGCCATTTCTTTGTCTGTGTTTGAAGAATACCTGGTCAGCAAAACAGAGAAACTTAGTCGATTCTGTGTTAGAATCTGGCCATTATTTGTGACAAACAGTAAAGCCAATACAAAAACAAAATTGTATATCTGTAAGTGAGTCTCCCTGAGAAGCAATATTACCTCATTCCTCAGCTAAGAAAATAGTTTGCAACTGTGATCAAAATTAAAGGCACTAGGTAAGCTGATTGCAGTTGAATTATACACTTTTATGTAATTTATAGTAGTATGTAACATATATATATTTTTGATACAAAAGGTCTATCTTTGAAATTTTTCCTCATGTATCATATTTTAATAGCACATCTTAAAAACAGCTAGGAATATGCAACACACAAAAGCATTCATGACCTATAATTTCAAGTATCATTTTATGTCCTTTCAAGAGAAATTAGATTATGTTTTCTGAAAATCAACTGCTTTCAAAGGTATTGAAATACATGCAGACAGAGGCAAAATGTCAGCTGGCAAGGGGAACTGGAGCAGTCATGTCACACTGCCACAGTGGCCAACTGCTTCTCTTCTGTCACAACCCTGGTTCATAAATTAAGAAAAAAAAAAAAAATAAAAGACAAAATATATAATCATCTCCCTCAGATGCTCCATTCAATTATATTTATTTCTTGCTCTTTATCCCTGTCTCTTTATTCTTTGACCTCTTCTCCCTTGCCACATTCTCCTGAACTAAGATGATTTCTTCTGGGTATGATTTCTTCTGGATAATATGTAATAAAAAGAGCTATTACTTAGTTTAAGGAGGTCTGGTGGAGCGATGGGAAAAGCATCCAGTCACTAACCAAAAGGTCAGTGGTTCAAACCCACAAGCTGCTCCATGGGAGAAAGATGAGGCAGTCTGCTTCTGTAAGGATTTGCAGCTTTTGAGACCCTATTGGGAAGTTCTACACTATTTTATACGGTTGCTATGGGTCAGAATCCACTCAGTAGCAGTGGATTTTTTTTTCTATTAATTTTAACAAATACATGATGGGGCAATCTACTTCCATAGTGATACTGCCTTGGAAACTCAAGGAGGGGTTGCTATGAGTCGTGTCCAACTCGACGGCACATAACAACAACAACAACAACATACTACATATATTATTTTCTGTATTCTAGATGAAGAAGCTGAGAGTCAATAAATTAAGTCAATCCCTTAAGGTCACAAAACTAGGAAGTGATAAAGCTAAGTTGAGACCACAGTTGTGCCTGATTCCAAAGCCTGAGGTCCTTCAAATACCCACACTGGTCCCCACAGCCAGGGAACTAGAAAGAAATGTTGAAAACACAGGTTGGTGTTCATTTCATTTACTTTTTGATCCTTTTTGCCTTAGATTACAAACATATTTTTAAAATTATTTTAGCTTTAGTTCTCTACTAGCATCTCACTATGTTGGTCAGGCAATGATCCTGTACTTAAATTTTGCTATAGTTCCCCAAAGAAAACACTTTCACTTAATTTTGAAATTCCTTCTCACCTCGCTCTCTCTGATTGCGGATTCTGAAGGTAAGAATAAGGGCTTCGGTTGATCTGTACACCATCAACAATTCCTTTATTAATAAAGATTTTGCCTGGTTTCATACTCGCATGTGCTATTTCAATGCTCTAAAGGCAAAAAACAGAGAAAGAAAAAAAAAAAAAAAAGAGCTGTAAGTTTATATATCTTGTTGGGAACAATGACCTAGTTTAGATTAGCAGAAGAGTTCAATGTGCTTTATCATTAACTTGGCCCCACTAGGAATGAAAGCTGGGAGGACCACATGGCTGGTGTCATTCTGGAAACAACCAGAATGACTTTCAGGGTTGGGATGGAGATGTGCATAGGGAAGCACTGAGCTGATTAATGCCTGACATTTCAAAGCACTCCTGTGTTCAGTCTCTCTGGACTGCTCTACAGCTGGGGCAAGAGTTGAGTCAGGCACCATTTTGCTGTTTCAGACGGTCAGAATGAGAGACATTACTCCTATGAGACTGACACAAGATTTGTTAATATGTAAGTTTCTAACAGGGAGCCCTGGTGGCACAGTGGTTAAAGTGCTTGGCTGCAAACTGAAAGGCAGACGGTTCCAACCTACCAGTTGCTCCGTGGAACAAAGATGGAACAAAGTCAGCTTTTGTAAAGATTTACAGCCTCAGAAATCCTATGGTCCAATTCTATTCTGTCCTATAGGGTCGCTAAGGATCAGAATCCACTCAACAGTTAGGGAAAATTTCCTCACCTTCCCGTCTCTCTCATCCCACTACCTTCTAACGTAGTGTTTCCTAAACTTCTTGACTATGAGCCAAAATAAGAAATGTTTATTTCATCATAACTTAATTCATAACATATGCATACTAAAACAAAAGTTGCACAAAATAAATATACTACTGCTATTATTAGGCGCTCTGGTGGTGCAGTGCTTAAGGCATTTGACTGCTAACCAGAAAGGTGGAGGTTCAAAACCACCAGCCACTCCTCAGAAGGAAAATTGGGTAATCTACTTCTGCAGAGATACCGCCTCGGAAAACCAAGGAGGGGTCGCTATGAGTCTGAACCAACTCCACAGCAGTGAGTTTGGTTTTTGGTGATTGTTATGCATATATTTGCCAACTTATTTAAATAAGTTCTTTATATAAATATTTTTATATTATACATAGATAGATAGATAATTCTTTTTTGTAATGTTTATTGCAACTCTTGAAAATGATTTCATAAGCCATTAATAGATTGCTAACCACAGTTTGAAAAACATTGTTGTAAAGCAAGTTCTGACATTGCCAGCTGGATCCCTAGATATTGGAGGTGTGTTTATGAGAATAAGTAGAAAGAAACTACAACCGGAAGGCAAATAAATGAAGAAAAACATAACCAAGTATCCTAAGTAAGAGAATAATAAGCTAGAATGCAGGGGAGAGAGGAGTAAAAGCTCATCAATTAGGGTTGGAAGAGAATTTGGGGGATATTAGTGAAGGACATCCTGGCGGTCTGAAGCTGCTGTGGATAATTTTAGAAATGATGATGTTATGTTTATAAATTGGATCCCTTTCTGTGCTCTTTAGGAAATACAAGGCAAGATGGGAATTATTTCTAATTTCTTTTGGTTTCTTGTTGGGTTTCTTTTTGTGTAACTATTCAGAGAATAGGCCATGTGGGGCCCTAAAACTTATAATGGCTACCTACAAAATGCTTCCCATCTCTTGGGATGACTATATGGGGTTTACTGCCATAGAATCCTCCTCTTTTAGTCAGTAAGGACCTCAGACCTAATAGCAACAGCTCAGGAACAGAAGCTAAAAGGAAGCCAGAAAGGGATAGGGTGATAGGTGCTAAGACTGTGCTCAGGCCCAGATTCTGTAGGCACTCCACAGGTCCCACCAAGCCACCTCTAAAGCTCCTGTCAGCAATGGTGAAGGACAACTGCCCCAGACTGCTTGACTCATTGCCTACCTTCACGATGCCATTGACCATGTACTGAAAAGTTCTATTGCTAAATCCTTCACTGGCAATTACGAATAGAGTGTACTGGAAAAAGCCTGCTGGAGCCGAGTGTGTGTGAGTGCCACTCAGGATAACGTTGTCTCTTCTGTAGAGGGGGCCATATTTACTCTCCAGTCTGTTTAGAACCTTAAAAAGAAAGAAAGAAAAAAAGAACTAAGAAGAGGAAAAAATACAAAACACAGTAGCTCGAGAAAAGGCTATGAATTCAATCACTGATCCGCACTGATGACATCCCTATCAAGCAACCATTCACTCTATACTCAAGTATATCATTACAACAATAATCCCTTTGATAATAATAGTAACCTATATATGTTGTTGTTGTTGTTATGTGCCGTCGAGTCGGCCCCGACTCATAGCGACCCCTCCTTGGGTTTCTGAGGCAGTATCACTACGGAAGTAGGATTGCCCAACCTTCCTTCCGAGGAGTGGCTGGTGGGTTTGAACCACCAGCCTTCTGGTTAGCAGTCAAGTGCTTTAGCCACTATGCTACCAGAGCTCCAACCCATATAGAGTATACCATTTAAAATTTTTAGAACAACTCTAAAAGTCAGGTATTATTAACCCCACTTTTTAGTTGAGAACACTGAAGCTTAAAGAAGCTAATTAATTTATTCATTGAGCTAATAAGTAGCAAAGCAAGGCCCAAGTTGGCTTTTCTAACCATAGACCCAGTACTCTTACCTATTCATTATTCAATACAGAGTATTAATATCCAGGCACTATTCTAAGCCTTAGGAATATTTAAGGCTCCTATCATCAAAAAAATCTTATTCTATTCAGGAAAAAAAAGACAATAAACAAATAAATAGGTAAGGTTATATCATATAGGGATAAATGCTATGAAGTAAAACACTGCTGGATAAGAAAAGAGAGTTATAGATGTTAGTAAGAAGAAATCTTTCTGAAGAATACACCTCAACAGAGGCTTGAATGAAGAAAGCATGTTGTGCCATATCTTGGGGATAAGCTTTCTGGGCACTCCATATTCTGTGACATATATGATTACACTTACTGGTCTGGTGGAAGCCAGCTGCTAGGAAGTAAGGACACTCCCTCACCTCTGTGGAGAGGAATCATCTTGTCACCACCCACTTGCTGACCATGTGGGTAGCAACTTTGACATGGAATCTTCAGCCTTAATGAAGAGCCATCGAATGACTTCAGTCCCAGGAAATAATTGAGTGCAATCTCATGACACAGAAAAGACTATGTGTACCTTCTGTTCTAACATAAGTCAGGATTGCCCAACCCAGCCACTCTTGAATTACTGACCCATGAGCAATAATGTGATTACTGTTTTAAAGATCCCTGGGTGCTGCAAACAGTTAATGTGCTCCCTGACAAATGAAAAGTTGTTGGACATTTGAGTCCACCCACAGGCTCCTTAGAAGAAATGGCTGGTGATCTACTTCCTGAAAAAAACAGCCACTGAAAATCCTATGGAGAAAAATTCTACTCTGACACATACAGGGGCACCATGAGTCAAAATTAACTTGACAGTAACTGGTTCAATGTTATTTTAAGCCACTAAGTTTCAAGATGGTTTTATACAGCCATAGATAATGAATACAAAGAGAATTAGTCAATCGGTGAACATCCAAACTCATGACTAATGTCTTTGTCTGTTACATGCATATCAAGAAAACAACAGAGAAAATTAGTAGTGCTGCTGAGAACCTGTTTCTGATTCTGCTTTAATCAGCTGCAATCTGGAGTCTGTCATCATTGGGACTTCTTTGTCAGAGATGCTTTTGACTTTTTTATAAGGTCAAAACATTAAAATGATCCAGCAAAAGTGTCATTTGTTTTTGTTGTTGTTGTTCTGTGTCAATGAGTGATTTCCAACTCACAGCACCCTATAGAACAGAGTAGAGTGGCCCCACAGGGTTTCCTAGGCTGTAATCTCTATGGGAACAGACCTCCAGGTATTTTCTCCCACAGAGCAGCTGGTATGTTCAGTTAGCAGCTGAGCGCTTAATCGTTGTGCCACCAGGGCTCCTTTCAATATAGATTCTGCCACTTATTTACCAGGGACAATGATGAAAACGCTTTTAAAACAAACAAACAAACAAACAAACAAACAAACTCACTGCAATAGAGTTGATTCGACTCATAGTAACCCCTCCTTGGGTTTCCGAGGCAGTATCTCTTCGGAAGTAGATTAGCCAATCTTCCTTCCGAGGAGTGGCTGGTGGGTTTGAACCACCAGCCTTCTGAATAGCAGTCAAATGCCTTAGGCACTATGCCACCAGAGCTCTCGAAAGCTCTTTAAAGTAATAATAAAAAAAGATAACCGCTTATTTCATGTATTAAGTTCAATTCATTTGTGGCTATTCTCAGAAGCCATGTGTTGAAAAGGATTCTGAAACCAAATCGAGGCTTAGCAAGAAAGAACACCTTTATAATTAGCAATGTCTACCTTTAGCATGGGAGCTCTTGTAGCATAGTGGCTAAGGCACTTGA